AAAAAAAAAAAAAAAATTAGCCCAGCATGGCGGTGCGTACCTGTAGTTCCAGCTACTTGGAAGACTGAGACAGAAGGATGCCTGAGCCCAGCTGGTTGAGGCTGCGGTGGCCAGGAGCATGCCACTGCCCTCAAGCCTGGGCGACAGAGTGAGACTCCGACTAAAAAAAAAAATAAAAAGAAATGTTTCCGAAGCTACTCCTTGAACCCAAGGACAGAGGAGGGGCAAGAGAATTACTTAGTCCAGACTATCCCTCATCCCACCTATCAGGTCATTTACCTATTATCTAAAGTCACAAAGGTAGTAGGGGCTGGGTCTCACTCTGTGAGACCTGCGTCTGACTCTTCAGTCATTAGCTTTGCTGTGCCCATTTGATCTCTAAGTAGATGTTCTAACCTTCCTCTCGATTAAACTCCCTAACACCAGGTCCATGTGGTTAAGTCAGGCTTCTTGGATTGGAATCCTGGACCTGTCACTTCCTAGAGCAAGTCAACTGCTTTATGCCTCGGTTTCTCATCTGTGAAATGGGGATAATAACAGCCCCTGTCTCATGGTTGTGAGGTACAGAGTAAAAGCTATGTAGGAGTTATTTTTATTAGTATCTCCAAAGAGCCTAATAATAGTAACTAACATCTCCCGAGTGTGTTATGATGTGCTAGGTATTATGCTCAATACTTTCCATGCATTATTCAGTGTAATCCTCTCAACAACCCTATGAGGGAGAAACTATTATGCTGACTTTACACAGAAAGCCCTAGAGAAGTTAACTTGTCCAAGTCTGCTTAAAAGACAGAGCCAGGATTCCATCCCAGAAATTGACTCCAAGGTTTACATTCTTGACCCCCAGGCTCTACTGCTTGGGAGGGGGATGGTTGTGTGGTTGCATGTTGAAGGGATGAATGCAAGAAGTAGAGGAAAGAAGTTGGTGGGAATCATTGAGCTAAAGCTAGGCCCAGCCTGCTCTGAGGCAGTCTGGGTTTATCCTTAGGGTAAAATCACTTGGGCTTGAAGCCAGAGAAGTAGAAGCTAGGCTCAGTCTTTGAAAGGCTCTGTGACCTTGGACAGGTACTTGCTCCTGCTGAGACCACCTTTTCCCCACTTGAAAATCCAAGAAGCTGGCTTGGTGGTTCAGCCTGTAATCACAGTGCTTTGGGAGGCTGAGGAGAGTGGATTGCCTGAGCCCACGCATTCAAGACCCTCCTGGGTAACTTGGTGAGACCTCATCTCTACAATAAATAAATAAAATAAATAAAAAATTAGCACACACCTGTAGTTCCTGCTACTTGGAAGGCTGAGGGGGAAGGATCGCTGGAGCCCAGCAGGTCGAGGCTGCAGTGGCTGGGAGCCTGCCACTGCACTCCAGTCTGGGTGACAGAGTGAGACTC